ACAAATCTATCCCACAGAGTAATTGTAAAGGTGTCCCACAGCCTGTTTCACAGTAATGGTTGTGCAGCGGTCTTTGATCACGTAGCTCACAGGCTACAGCCACGCTCTGTCCACCTGACGTAGTCGCGTCGTCACAGCTCCATCACTTTGAGATTTTGCTTTAAGAAAGACGTTTTTCATGCAGCTGCACGTCTCTTATCAGTTCAGCGTCTCTCTGGAGACTGTGTTCCTCATTCATCACCCCATATCTGCTGCTGTGTGGTTTCACAATCACCAGATATTTGAGGCTTCTTGCAGCCTGAAACATTGTGCTTGAGAACCTCCTGCTCTGGATGAGTACTGAGAGACGTTTATCTGTTTATTGGATTATTATTAAGGTACAAGGGGCTAAATCTCATCACTAGATATCAGTGCATTACAGATTTCAGTGAGTGTATACTGTCAGTCTGCTGTTTACCTCAGCTGTCGATACGTGTCCACGTCTGTTTGCCCTGAAGGAGGCTGTAAAACTCTGGAGTCAGTGAAACTGTCCAGCGACACTGAGCACTGCTGTTTCTGCAGCTGTTAGCTGACAGCGGCTCTGACATCACTCAGTACTCTCATGTGATACGAGTGTATTCAAGCTGTTTATCAGAGGACGACTGTGATTCTTAGCCTGACATAATGTTAGCTCGAATCAGATGTTGTTGTTTGGCTAGCTCGCGTTCAGGTGTGTCGGCTCACATGGATGATTTACTGACAGTCAGGAACTTTGGTAAATATGGGTAATAAATGCAGATGTTTACGCAGTGATTACGCTGATCAGGCTGACTCGGATGTTTGTTTTAAACAAATAAACAAACATTTTTCTGTGTGTGTGTATGAACCTCTTTAATCTGAATATTGTTGTGAACTGTCAGTGAGGCAGCGACAGCAGAGTAACATCGGAGGGTTCAGAGGTCGAGCAGGTCAGCGGTGGTTCGATCCCTGGCTCACTCAGTCTGCATGTCAAGTATCTTTGGGCAAGTTACT